CCGTCGCCGCCACCGCCACCGCCACCGCCGCCGCCACCGCCACTGCCGACGCCGACGCCTCCACCACCTTCGCCCTCTGCTTCGTGCTCGTCGTACTCTGAGAGCACTTTGTCCAGCAGCTCGATCGATCGTTGTACATCGTCACCTCTGGAACAAACGTATCGTTCGATTCTATAGAGATCACGCATATGATCCGATCGTTTTAGATTCGAAACTTTCACGACGATTAAACGACTATATATTTGTTTTTGGTTCTTGGGTTTTCTACTCGAGTTCGTTTCTTCGGGACAGACGTGGAGCAGTTTCGGTAACCGGAAATATCGACGAGACGTCAGGGCACAGGTAAAAACACGATAGAAACCCGAAGAACTAGAAATTTATGTTTACACAGATCTTATTAGGAAACAAGTTTGTACAAAGAAGTTTGTCTGGTTTTAATCTATAAATAGGAATTACTGGTGTAACTGACGTAACTATCTGTTGTGCGAAGAAGATGTTTACACAGCAATTGAATTCGAGTTTCGACATACGTTTTTTTAAACGCAGTCGTAATTTCTGTCGCATTTCTCATATAAAATTATTAATCTACTCACATCGGGCAGCTATTATTATTATTAATTTGCTGGATACTTCAACTTTTATTTTTATTAATCCGATAAAAATGATATAATCTCATTTAAGTAAACGCATGTCATCTTCGTACGACCTCCGTGTTCTGCATCCATCCGCACAAAAACTGATTACCCCAGATTACGTCTCCCTCGAAACCATTAAAGCGCTGTCTGAACATTTTTTTTTCATACAGCAATAAGTGTACCAGTAATTGGCATTTGTAAGTTGGAATCGGATAGCCGTTACAAAAAAACATGGAACGTGTCCAGCGATGCAAATATGTCCCCCGTTTCAGTTTTTTATCATATCAGAGTACTCGATCGCAGTTACAGAGAAACTTCTATCATACCGTTGCCAAGTACAAATGTACTTGACAAATTTCCCAAATTTATCTTCTCGTAAGCGAACGAACAAATTCCACTGCATTTATTATTCTTATTTTCTTCTTATCTGTTCACGTAGAATCGGTCTATCCCAGCCGATTGTACCGCGATTGTTGTGGATACACGTTGCACGAAAATATGTAATCTGATACTTAACACTTTACTGACCGTTAGCGATTCAACAGCATACGCACGTCCGACCGGCAGTTCAGGCGCAGATTCTCCCTGGCGCCGACTCTGTTTCGGTTTAGACTCTCCGATACAATTCTTTTCGTTTATCGCGAACGGTAAGTTTTTCAAATTGGCATGAAACTGTGGGGGCTTACAAAGCAACGCAACTGACGCAACTGAGCGAGGTACCTTGGTACTAAATAACAAATTACTGTTCAAATAATAAGAAAGATTGTCGGCGATAAAAAGCCGATTAATAGACTATCGGTCGGTACACGTCGGCGACAAAAAATCGATTAATCGACTATCGGTCGGTAAAGTGTTAACACCGTTGCTACTACTGGCTCGGTTGTACGCCACGCTGCTGTCTATCAATTTTCATAACTAAACGTTTAATTAAATCGTGTCGAATTGCGACTCAAAGACACAAGAGAGGACACGAAGGGTTAGCGACGATGACGGAGACGTAGCCGGTAACGGCGACTGGTAATAGTGATAGTAATGGCAGAGAACGTAACGGCGACGTCAATGTCGACGTCGAGGTTGAGGTTGAGGAGGTCGGGGCGCTGAGCTTCGAGAAGGGAAGGAAAAGAACGAAGCCGACTAAAAGGGAGCGAGACTTGCCGCCAGTAGTGATGGGATCAAGTTCAATATGTACTTATTCTTTTAAGCTTTTTATCCTACGTATTTATTATGCTATGCATTTTGAAGTGCATTTTCATTATTAACATTATTAGCTTATGTTATCAGTATTTGAAATATTTGAAATATATTTTTAAAGCGGATTTGGACAATGTATATAGATTTTAAAAACAAACTTTATCATATGGTGATATCGTACGACAGCTCCGTTGAAATCATGCACAGTCTTTCTCTTTGTAATTTTCTAACTAATTCATTATTTCTATGAGAAGTAAGCGAATATGCATACATTTTTAAGCGGTAGTGTGTAACTATAACATAAATTCACAGTAACTGCATTGCTATATAGAAGACTTAATTGCAAAGAAGACAGTAATTTTATCTTATTTATATATGTGGCACTTCCAGGTATATGCGCGCTTAGCTTTATGAGTCGGCTTAGGTAGCCAGTCTACACGAAATAATCGATCAGACTCGCGTTTCTTAGTCTTCTTTCTAGCGATGCACCGTACTTGAGCCCATCGCTAGTTGCCAGGAGCATGAAGGGCGGTAAGAGCGGCGGCAAGTGGGGTGGGAAGGGAAGAACGCGTAGAGGTCAGGGGGAGTAAAGAGGAGTGGTAGGCGGTGGGTGGCGAGGGGAATGAGCAAGAGGAATGAGCGAGAGAAATAGCGAGAGTAGCGAGAGTAGCGAGGGATGGTTGGCGAGGAAAGTTACAAGGCGGTACCTTGCGATATACCTCGCCGCGCGTACTGACGCAATGCGGTGGTCTTTGATTGGTCGAGTGGTAATCGCGATTGTTAATTACCGCAGAAACCTGACCATCGACAAACTTTGTCGTCGAAATGAACGAAGAAGAAGAAGAAAGACGCGCTTACTATTCCGACTAATCATCGATTCCCTATTCTCTTTCGTACTCTTTAAGGTGCGTACGTGGCAAGTAAGTTGGAAGATCGACCAAGTACATTCGAATGGTCTGCAAGCATTTCGCAAAACAGTCGGTACAATTTGAAAATATTAACACTTTACCGACCACTAGCGGTTCAACAGCATACGCACGTTCGACCGGCAGCTCAGGCGCAAATCCTCCCTGGCGCCGCCTCTGTTTCGGTTTAAGCTCTCCAAGACCATTCTTTTCGTTTATTGAGAACGTTAAGTTTTTCAAATTGGCATAAAACTGTGGGACCTTACGAAGCAACGCAACTGACGCAACTGAGCAAGGTACCTTAGTACTAAATAACAAATTACTGCTCAAATAATAAGAAAGATTGTCGGCGATAAAAAGCCGATTAATAGGCTATCGGTCGGTAAACGTTGGCGACAAAAAACCGATTAATCGGTCGGTAAAATGTCAAGTTTAAAAACGACGAAGCTTATTTTTAAACATATCGCGCGTTGTTGGATCAAGACATTTCTCTGTGACGCTGCTTTCTATAACGTTAAGCCATACATCAGGCATGCGATGAATTCCATCAGCGAAAGATATTGGCTGATTGTCCTTAAACAAGATGCAACTGTCAGGGCATTGACAAAGGAGAACGTTCTACAAAATTACCGCGTGTCAACGTTGGGACACATGGTGCTTCTGCGACAAAAGACATCACGAGTCTTGGCTTGGATGTCTCACAGCTTATTCGCTAGACGTTACCCCTTCGGATTGCTACCGGTTTCAGATCGATGCAACATGCCTTATCCGATGCTCACTTGCAATTAGTAAATGAGACAGAAACACGTCCTGACGACTGCATCTTGCCTGATAGATGGCTTAAAGTTATAGAACGCAACGAGAAATGCGGTTAAGCAATACGCTATATACAGGGTGGTTGGTAACTGGTGGTACAGGGGGAAAAAATTTTTTTTTTTTTTAATTTTTAAAATTCGAGACAACGAAAATTCAAAGTCGATTTTCTCAAAAACAAAGCCTCGAACGAAAAATTGTTATTCTATATTTTCGACTTCTTTTTTCGCGTAGAATCACCCCCTTTCCGCTTGTACCACCAGTTACCAACCACCTTGCATATATCCTTTTTTTTAAATAAACTTCGAGTTTCACAAAATCAATGTCATGTTGATTTAATTTGTAAATTGTTCATTATTCGTCTTATTAATATTTTTGAAATGCTCGATACGACGATAGAAACATATATTTTGATATGGAATTGATATATAGCGTGTCTAACCTAAAAACCGCTGTTCTATAAAAAAAAAGAAGGGAAATGTAATACATAGTAATTTATGTTTCTCATTCGTGACGGTCTACGTCCGTAATTTTGCAGAAGAAAGAAAAATTTAACAAAAATGTTTGGTAAAAACAAGTGCTTGGTAATGTGCAACAGTTATCGCAGATAGAAAAACCGTCTCGTAATTGCAACGTAACAACCACGCACGTCCCCCCATACCTTTTCTTCTCTGTCTCTATACTTTCCATTCTCTGTTCGTTCGCTCGTTATAAGCGCGCCAAGATCTATCCAACGATCGAATCGAAAGCCTGTGCCAGGGTTTGCGCGAATAAAGGAAGAGAAATTCCGTAGATACGACAGAAAAATAGCTGAATAAACAAGAGGGTGGGCGAATTCGAGAAAGACCGTTTTTCGAGAGTCTGTCCAAAGCAAAATCTTTTAATGGCGGAACAAAGACCAGAAATCCATTCCTCTTTTCTTTTTTCGTCTCGTTCCCCCCTTCGCTCTCCTCTCTCGTTCTCCTTGTTCCGCTTTTCAACGTTACGGCACGGAATACAGCAGCTCGTCGTCGGACTCGTTAACGTTTGATTCATAATTCAAGATCGTAATTGTTCGAGAGCTGCCGGAATAAAAATCGCGAGTTATTCTCTCTCTCTTTTTTCTTTTTTCCCCCTCCCTTTTCTCTCTTCGCAGGATCGTTTCGACGAACAGCGCCCCGACGTACAACTTTACAGACTCGAATCGTTCCCCCTTTTTTTTTGCCAACGAATTACAACTGTAACATGGAATTTCATGTAAGCGTCAGGTGACAATACACCACGGAAATACGATGGAGCAACACGCTCCTCTTTTCTCTCTTTTCCTATAAGCGATTTTCAAGTGTTCGATATACCGTGTGGCTCGTAAATAACGATGTGTTCTAGCTGAATATACAGGATGTCCCGCATAATGTGGTCAGTAGTGAAACGACTAGAGGATGATCATACATTTAAAAATAAGTGGAAAATGGATGGTTTTTGAAAATGGTGCGAGTCCATTTTCCTTTGTTTCGAATTGGGCTATTTACGTTTTCATTGATTGACAAATTCTGGCAACGTCTACTTGGCTTATTCGCGTCTCTATGTGTTTAAATATACAGGGTGATTGGTAACTGGTGGTACA